TTTTATCTACAGAGGGAGTGGGTACTCTTCTACGGAGGGCCATGTTGAACCGCCATGTTTCTACAGTAGCCCAGAATGGACAAATCCAACACTGTTTTTTTCGGGGGTTTTACGATCAGCGTAATTTCTCCTTTGTTCTTGAAAAGGGAGTTGGAAGCAACATAGTTGCAATCTACAACTACACTGCTAGATGCCACTAAATCATATAGACTTGACCTTTTTTGTAGTAAACTATAAAAAGTGAGACAATTTACACACAATGTATATATAACAGAAATTAAATGATCAACCAAATCATCCTGCTAATTAATATTTTTATGTAACAGCATGCAGTTATATTTTAGACAATAGTGTGCTACCACAGTTGTGGAAACAGTTTAGGGAAGACTCTTTCTTATTTCATTATAACAAATGCACCCCGTGCGCAAAGCCAGAAATAATTCTCCCAGATTAGTTTGGAAGAACTTGACTGGCTTCCCTCACTTTAACCCATCCAAAATCTATAGGATGAACTGTCTGGAGCATCAGCTGTGAACCAGGACACCCAACATCAGTGCTGGACCTCATTAATGCTCTTGTGGCTGTCTGGGAACAAATCCCTGCAGCAAGCTTCCAAAATGTTGTCTAATGTCTTGATTTATGAGATGTTCAACAATCCCAAATGGGTGTAATAGTTTATGCCATGTAGTGTGAAATGTGCTAATGTTCATCTTACAAACAGTATGCATAGTTGATGTTTTTGAGCAGTCAGCTGGCACACCTGGTCTACATTAGCAGTTCAAACCTCCCCTTAATGTGGGTTTTAAAGCATGAAACAAGAAACATGCCTCTGTCACTGTCTAAAGTAACTTCATACAACCTGCAAGGTGTCCAAATCCATCAACATAATCAGCCCAGGGTCGTTTGAAGTCAGTTAATCCATCAGACCTCCGCTGCATCACCGTCCATCCACCTCCCATATAGTCCATCTCACAGAAAACCTGCAGCACATGTTGCATTTTGAGCAGTGGGCAATGATTGAGTGACGGATTGTTAATGACTGAATTATTCATGTACCTCAAATGAAGAGTCTGTGTTGTCTGGGTGAACGATGTAAATACCGCTGGGGATCTTGGGGACCACTGACACTAGATTGTCCTTAATGTCGCTGCAGTCTCGTCCTAATAACAAAACAAACTTTCTTTTGTCATCAGGAAGAAAATTAACGTTCACTAAAGCAGCAACTTTTAATCACAGGACAAAGGAATGTCTCTGCATATCTAAAGTCCAATAATGTTTTTCTCTGCCCATGCACAACAAGTTAAATGATAGTGTTTCACTGGCTTTCTGTGCTTGTACCTAATATGCCGGTGATGGGCTAAAAAAGACCAAACCTCATTAAATTACATGTCACTGGATAATAAGTTTGTTCGTTACTGATTTCCTAATGATGTATTTCGTATTTATATAACACATACATTATTGTTCAGTGAAAACCATGTATGCTGACTCCAAATCTGGTGATTTAATTGTTCATACATACTGAAAAAATAAATGTCCCCATACAGTTAAAGAATTTTCTCCAGCTTCTTAGACTTGTAAAGCATTTTAAAGTCCAGCTGGAATATCTCAAAAAGCACCTTGACATGTTCTCATGAAACTTCCATAAAGTTTGGAAAGAATTTAAAGGCACAATTTTTACACATCAAGATCAGTTTACTCTTTGTGAGAAATCCTACACAGCCTGTGAAAGCGGTTGTTTAATGTCTGCGAAAATATAAATGATGACACCATCAGGATATCCGTTACCAGCTTGAGTTTGGAAACTAAAACTTAAACTATAATTTAAAAAAAGCCCGTGTATGGTGTTATAAACTGGAGGTGTGGAATTTTAAAAAGCTGTTTACCAGATGGGGAGAGTCTAACAAAGTGACAGCATTGAGTTGTATTGTGGGACTTGTAGGATCAATGTTTATGGATCTTGATCCACACTAGGGGCTAAAAGTCCGGCTCTGCTCAAATGTCTCTCACAAGTCCTACAGCTTTATGGAAGAGAAATACTGGTCAAACTTTATTTGGATAGTCTACAGATTACAGAACATTTTGACTGTTTCACTTTGACTGTAGATGTTTAACAGATTATCTGTTGAGTATATGTGACAGTTCATGAACATACCATAACTAAGGTGTTTTTTGTACTAAACCTAACCAAACCCTAACCACAGTGGTCAAACTCTACGGCCCTGAACGACAGAAGCCCTTATAAAACAGGGTGAGTAGCACTCCTCATGACTTATAAACTGATATTTACTTGTAAAATTGGGGAAATTTGTCACCCATATGAATGAATCGTATGTGTCTGTGTGTGCGTTACCGTGGGACTGCACAGGTTTGATGGAGTACATCTCAGTGTTGCTTCTCTGAACCTCAGAGCTGAGCGTCTGCACTTTGGTCATCAGCTCCATGACCTGGAAATGTGACACAACTGTACATATACAGCTGGCCAATCAGACGCTTTGAATCTCTGTTACTAAGAGAGAGGAAGAAGAACTTCACTTTACCTGACTGCTGAGGATGTCCAGGGCTCTCTGCTGCTCCTCCATCACATCTCGCATCAGCTTCCGGGTGCTGCGTCCAAACGCCAACAGAGACTGCTGCAACTGGCCTACACACACACACACACACACACACACACATATACAAACACACTTTCTCAGATGGTGATGATGGTAACAATAACACCAAGAAAGAGGAAGACATTTTACCACAAACTGAATGTTTCTCATCTCGTAGCAGCTTGACGGTGATGTCGCACGGAATGGAGCACGTGTCCCGACCTTTGACCCCTCCAGGAGATTTATGGCCTTTGACCGGAACATCAGGGAAGTCCTCATTGACTATTTCTGATTGGTTAAAGTTTGTGCTGTTTCCTGTGTCCTGGCAATGGAGAGAGGTGTAAATCTGCATTACATCATGTGTTGTGTGCAGTAATAATATTACTTTCTCCAGTAACTAGCAGTGTAACTAATCATAAATAAATTTCAGTAATAATATTACAGTTAATTAGTTACAATATTACTTTTGTTGTCAGCCCCTATTGTTTTGAGATCCAATCACATCCTTGGATTTATTTTTGTATTCGTGGACAAAACTAATTTGGAAGATGAAAACCATTTAGCAGCTAGAAATATTCCATTACTTTGATTTTAACAAACAAAACTAGATTTTAATCGTCATCACTCTGAATTTTGGGGAGAAAGGACACAATCACCAAATTTGGTGGGCAATGTAAATTAACTAATAGTGTAACTAATCACTTTTGGCAGGGAGTAAAAAGTAAAGCAATAATATTACTTTTAAAAGGAAACACAGGTGTTGAATGATTTAAGGCTCCATTCCATTTAGTGTAGCAGAGCCTTTCCAGTGAGACAACATGCACAAAAGCAGCACCCTGACTCTGTTTGACCTGAATGGAACAGAAACTTAATTAGTGTCATTAGTAACACGTGTGTTTACCCTGATATTTCAAGTGAAAATGACTGCTGCTCACGTACTGTACGTAAGTAGTAATTGTGTATTTCAACTTAATGCTACTTTATTTCCACTCTACATCTAAAAGGGAAATATTGCAGTTTTTACTCAAAAACATTCATCTGACATCTAATTATGTTGTACATTAGCATTGATAAGTCAAACATGGAATTAATTAATGAATATTCTTGTAAAAAAGTTTTAGAAAAATATTTCAACCCATTTTCAAACAACCTGTTTCAACAGTTTTCTTAAATTAACTTTTTTATAATTCTAGTTTATCATACAACACAGGATGATATATTCTTACTGTTCTGCAGAACAAAGTTTAACAACCCAATTACTGACAGAAAGATTGAATTTTTGCTGATTAAACACCCTGGCACTTTATAAAGTAGGCTAGTCCTCTATAGTCCTTTACTTTTGCTTAAATAAGATTTTTTGATTTTGACTTTTACTTATAATGGAGAATTTTTTCATTGATGTGTTGCAACTTTTAATGAAGAAAAGTATCTGAATGCTTCTTCTAACCCTGTGTGTTATCCTTATTCCCACAGACACATGCCATGATTATTTTAATGTTGATACAACTAAAAAGGGAAATGACACACAATTCATGATCCATCCATAATGCTCTAATCTAAACCCTTGCTTTTAAGCAATTTATAGTCATCTGCCACTGATGCAGCTGCTTGTTTTTTTCCTTTAACATTAAGCAGCTCCCTGACAACTATCCCACTCAAAGTCTCACATTTTACCACCCAACACAATAACTCCTGTAAAAGTTTGAGTGACAAGACAGGTGAGTAAAGTTGGAGACATTTATGACATGCATATCATACATACTGTGGAGGAAAGCAGATGAGGCAGAAGCAGCAGGAGGACAGTTGTTGTCCACATCATGTCAGTGTCGTCTGACTGTGATTATTTCCTTCAGGGGCGAGGGGGAGGGAGGGGGGGCTGAATTCTATCCACTCCGTCACCAGCAGCCACTCCTTCATTTATGCTTCATTTTTCCACAGAGTCTGCTCTTTTCCTTCACACGTCCATCCCTTCTTCCACTCTCATCTACCAAGTCTGCATCTGCTCCTTCCTCTCAGTTGTCAAACTTTCACCTCACTTCTTCTCCGACGGCCTCCACCTCCATCAGTCACTCCCACTTTTTCTTGTAAATACCCATGACAACATCCCTCGTAAAAAGGAGGTTGAATTTGTAAAAGGGGTTGGTGATAAACGTCTGGATACGTTTCTGACAAGTAGCTGAATGTGCTGATTCCAGATTTGTGGTAAAGAGAGATTACCTTCCCCCCTCAGTGTCTATTACCGGGCATCGTTTTTTTACAGGTTATATCCTGCCACCAGCACGAGAAACAGATGTGGTTAAGGGGAAATGGGCAGCTTGTTTTAATGTAGGAACGCTTTCTCTCTCTCTGCTGGTGTCTTTGCGTGGGAGCTGCAGCTGAAGGTATGGTGCAGTGAAGTCAGGGTGTCTGCTTGTTATGTCCCCCCCCCCCCGCCTGTTACACCCCTCTTCTCTCGCTCTCTCTCTGACCACTGACTCATACATCTGAAAACAGCCTCCCACAGGGTCAGACCAATTACTCCTGTTAACTGGGCAGTCAAGCAGTGAGAAAAGTGAAAAGCGATAAAGGGCAGCAGCACATTTCAGCCGGGTTCCAGCTGGAGCCGGCCGGCCTGTCGCTTCCCTGGAAAACTTAACCGTGAGAGCCAAAGAAAGGATTTGCTGTTGTTCTGAACCGTGTGTGTTTACAGCCGTGGTCAGTGAGAGGAATGTGAAAAGCCTAGTGTGGCAGCCTCAGGGCCCCCCCACATCTGTCCTATGTTACATACTCTTGTAAAGCAGTCTATGCATGTGAATAACACATTATATCTGCCATGCAAGACAAGACTGTGTGGTATATGTGTTTATCATATACTCTTATTGTGCCCTTGTAAATAAATGATACATTCAATTAAACTGTGTGATGGCTGAAAGGAATAGTTTGGCACTTTCTTCTGAGAGGATCGATACCATTCTCTGTCTGTATGATAAATATGAAGCTAGAGCTGGGAGACAGTTAGCTTAGCTTAGCATAAAGACTAGAAGCAGGGGGGTGCAGTTAACCTGGCTCCGTCCTAAGCTAACCAAATTTGCCTGCCAGCACCTGTAAAGCTCACTAATTAACACATTATAAGTTGATTATGCAATCCAAAGTGTCAAAATAACAAGTTGCCAGACTATTTCATGGCCAGGCGCAGGAGTCTTGTCGTCTTCTGACAGAGCCAGCTGTTCCCCCTGTTTCCAGTCTTTATGCTTTATTAAGGGGGAAACAGTAGGTAACAAAATCCATCCACCGGCACTTTCAAAGCTCACTTATTAACACGTTGTACCTGGTTTGTTCCAGCACATTCCTCCTCATAAAACCACAACTTGTTTTTAGAATTTGGCTATTGGAAGTGCAGCAAGACACAGAGCAAAGGTTTTCAAAAAGGTTTTATTTACGCAAAAAAATGGGGAAAGGCACAGAACCATTAACTTAGTTGGGCCCTAAAAGAAAAATACAGCAAACTGAGGGTTTTAATCAACAGAGACAAAACTGGCCTAACTAATGACACATGACGAGAACATACTGTCTTGCCAAACCACTGCAACTCAAAAGAAAGAAAATTATATTAATTATGCATTTTTAATGTTAATGAACCTACATTTTAAAAACTCTGTGTTGGTTGTTTAGTTATATGAAAGCTGTATGTGAAGTGTGGAGATGATTTTGTTCAGCAAAACAACAGAAGAAATCCTGCAAGTGAATTTAATGCAAAAACTAAATATGTTACAGGTGTTAAAGGTATGACAGTGCCATCTACTGCACTTCGGTTTGCATTACATTACAATTGTGCTCATGTTGACCTGTTGCCTGTTGCCATGGTGCATCTGAGTTCTCCACACACATAAACAACTGATCATTTTAGTAAAAATTGTAAATATAAATAAATATCCTTTATGCATTTATTTAGCTTTAGCTGTAGCGAGTGTAGTGCAATTGTCCAAGGCATTTTGTTATACAGAAGAAAACAAATATCTTTTATTTAAATAATAGTTCAGATTAAAAATCACATTATTTTCCTCTCACAAGGTAAATAAATTGCAATCTGAATGTACAGTCCTGCTAAAAAGCTATTACAAAGTGAGCAACAGTGAAAAGGACTCACTACAGACACAAACATGCTGTACTGTAAGATGATCACAGTAAGCTTTAAAATAGCAGGAACAAGTGTGCTGTCTCACAAAGGTTTAACAAGTCCGAGACTGATTCTTTCAGACTGGGAATGGCTGCTGGAAATCTCTGCTGCCCTTTTCTTCACCCTCAACTTATGCAACTCCGCCATGGTCTCCGATAGGACGTCGTCCCACAACGGTATCAGCACACACACTTGGGTAAATGTATGTGCCGCAAACATCAGAAGCAGTGGAGCAGACTACACACACTGTAGGAATCTGATCGTCACAGTCTTGAATCAACACAATGTTGAATATCTTCTTTTGTTTTTAAATGAAAAATATTAACGAAACACACCAGATAAAAATACATTTTGACATAAAGAAAATGTGTTTTTTAATTAGTTAAACCAACAATTGAACACAATGAATGTGAAATAAAATTGTTGCATCAGCATAAGCAGATGTTATACTCCACTCAGGTTAGTAAAACTGTGACAGAGACCCCAGAGACGCCTTTTAAAGCCTGACAGCAAAGTAAAAAAACAAGTGTCTCTCAAGACAACTCACACAAATAATCCCTCTTTTAACTCCTTAACATCCAGTTTTACTTTATAGTTTCCCTTAAGCAGCTTTAAATTTGTTAAAATCTCTTTATTCCACACTGTCTGACAGCATTAAATTAGATTCAACCATACCAGAGCAACAATAAAGCATGTAAAGATATCTACGGTGTAAAGATATGTACAGAATGAACAGACCACTGGGGTAGAAACACAGAATCAACAAAACAATATACAAAATGTACAGTACAAATTAACATTTTATAGGCCAATATATGTTTCTATCAATTTATTTAAACTCTGCGTTGAAGCTTTATGATGTTTACACATATTTGCTACATGTTTATAACTATCAATCTATTAATCACATCACTATGTCACTTTGCTGAGACATTTAGTTCAGTACAACACTAGTTCTGGATACTGTATGTGTACTAATATTGCCTGTACTTTTGTGTTTCGTGGCTAATTGCTTTTGTACAGTTTTTATTTTACTATTATTTTCTAATTTTATACACATTTAATTATTTATTCTACTCAGGTTTCTGTACTTATGTGTAATTATTCAGTCCTCGAGGTGATGTTACATCAGAATTACATCCAAAAAAGGATGATCTTATCTTAATGGCTGCACCCGTCATCCAAAAGTTAATACTCTACATGCAATGTGCATCATTTTAGACATATTTTTCCCAAAATGTAACCCAACACATTGAGCTATCCTTTGAAACTTTATGATCTCCACCAGAAGTTAATGAAGTTCTGTGGGTTTGAACAATGTTTGGCTGAACAGCTGCTTGTTAAATGGTTCATTTATGGTTAAAGTTGTATCAGAACTATTTAGATTAATAAGCAGTTTATATGTATTTCTATATACATTATTATAATTCCTTTTTGGAGTTAATCCATTGAGTTAAGTAGGCTATATTAATTTGTAAAACATTCGATTGTTATTATCCAAACCTTTTCTAAGACTCTCCATGTCCACTGTAGTGTATATTAACTCGGGTGGATTATAATGACCCAATAATTGAATGACTTATTGAATGCACCGTAGATAATAACACAAGTCCAGCCCATGGTCCAGCCAGACATTTTTGTTGAATTCAATCTGTTGGCCAGCTGAGCTCCAGCTCGGTGTGCACATGTCTTCCACCAGAGGGCTGCGGCTGCTCCTGCATGGACAAACAGGCTCCGGCTGGGTTGGCCTCATCAGGGGCGGATGTTTTCTCAGTGCAACTTCCCAATCCCCCCCTCCACCACCCCACCACACCACACCACCTCCACCACCCCAAAACCACCACCCAGGCCCAGAGTCAGAAAAAAGGGACTCCAGCACAGCAGCTCATGCCTCATTCCTCCTCTCCACTATATCATATCTGGTTGTCTCTTATCTGTCTGCACCACTTTTGCTTCAGCAGGAGAAATTAAAGAAAAACACACAAACTGGAAACTACAAAAATAAAAGCATACACTTATTATTTGACTGATGTTAGTGTGCTTTTTTTCTTTCAACCCTGAAAGCGTCTAAAGCATGGGAATAAAAAAAACTCACTGTCTGTCTTGTGTTGATGGTTTCTGTCTGAGGGAAATATTTTGCCCTGCAACTGCGGCAGCTTTAAACCCTGCAACCCCGCCCCTCAGCACTATCACATGAATCTGGACTGAGCAGTGGATGTGAAAAAAGTTTGGAGGTCTCGCTGAAATCACTTTTCTCCAACTGGTTTCCTGTATATCCATGGCTTTGTTTCCCACTTGAGGAGGCTTTTCACTTGAAAGTTTGCATCGGGAATCAGTGTCGCTCCGAGTGTTTTTCCCCGGCTGTGATTTCTCCAGTTTCTTTTTTTTTTTTTTTCCCTGCAGGAATACAGAGAGAGAGAGAGAGAGAGAGGGGGGAAACGGTCTGGCTGCTTGAAGGTATGTGGGAGGCATGTAACGTGTTGTACGCTGCTCACATTGATTTTTGCCAGCGATCCTCGCTTTAAACTGCGTTTCTTCGACTCCTGTACCCGGAGGTCGCTTTTCTCTCAACAGCTGATCAACTTTCGAGATGTTAAAACCTGAAACAGACACACAAGGACACAAAAGTTCAAATGGGGTGTGGGGGG